ACCAGCCAGAGGGTCCCAGTCCCTCCTCCCACCACCCAGGGGGTCCCGGTCCCTCTTCCCAGCACCCAGGGGGTTCCCAGGCCCCCAGCCCCCCACCCAGGGGGGGTCCCAGGCCCCCATCCCACCGCCCAGGGGGTCCCATTCTCTCCTCCCAGCACCCAGGGGGGGTCCCAGTCCCTCCTCCCAGCACCCAGGGGGTCCCAGTCCCTCCTCCCAGCCCCTCCTGGAGTTTCTCCCGGAGCCCCACGTGGGTTTTCCCCATTTCCCTCTGTCTTTCCCCCAGAACTTTGTCCAACTGGGCCTACGAGTTTGACAAGTGGGCTCCTTCCGTGGTGAAGGTCTCCTACAAGGCAAGTCCTGGTGTCCTCCCTGCCCCTTTTTCCCAGAATTCCCACTTTTCCCCCTCTCCTGCCTCCAACGTTCCCGTTATCCCGAGAAAGCCGCGACGTTCCCGGTGGGTCCAAACCACTCGACTTCTTCCTTCCCTCGCAGCAGGAAGAACCTCCTCCCTGGCACCACACCCACCTCCTCCCTTCCCCACATCCCCTTTCCCATTTCCCCAGCAATTCCCACTTCCTGGAATAACGTTGCTCCTGGAATTCCCTGCCCAGGGCTCCCCGGCCGCTCGACGCGCCTTCGTCCCGCAGCTCCGCAGCGGGAAGTTCAACGTCCTCCTCACCACCTATGAGTACATCATCAAGGACAAGCACATCCTGGCCAAGGTGGGTCTGGAACTTCCCAAGCTTCCCCTACATTCCCTGCTGGAAAAAATCCAACCTCTTTCCCGGGATCTTGCACCTCCTGGGGGGTCAGGAGCTGCTGGGGGGTCGGAGGTGCCACCAATTCTGGAGCCTCCTCCTTGTTCTGGGCCTCGAGCAGCCCCAAAAAGTCTTAGTTTTTCCCTTTTGGATGGAGCAATTCCCAAGAAAATGTCTCTTTTTGGGCACTTTCCTGCAGGATTTTTTTCCCTGGCTGGAGCTGCAGGTCAAACTTTGGGGGTTTCTCCCAGTTTTGCCCCATTCTGGTGATTTTTTTTGTTTCCCTTTGGCAAAAGTTGTGTTGGTCCCGAAACACCAAATCCCAACTCCAGGTTGAAGGGGTTTCCTCTTGGAATTGGCTCCTCTCCTGGGTTGGACCCCAACACCTCAGCTTGAGGGGTCCAAGGGGACCATGTTCTCCCTCAGCTTTGATCCATGAATGGTCCAAACTCTCCAGAAAGAGGGAAAAAATTCCCCAAATCCACCCTGAGTTTGTCACCTTCTCCACGTCCTCCCCAACCCCGTCTCCATCTTGGGACCCCAAATCCTGGTTGGGAGCATCACCTGGAGATCTAGAGCAGGTTCCCACCAGCCCAACCAACCAAGATCTCCCTTGGCCACCTCCAAAGGCCCAGTTGGTTGGATTCTCCAATGGAAGGAGCCCCCAACCCAACCTCAACCCCCCCCAAACCCCCTTTTCCCCTTCCCCCCAGATCCGTTGGAAGTACATGATCGTGGATGAAGGCCACAGGATGAAGAACCACCACTGCAAGCTCACCCAGGTCCTCAACACCCACTACGTGGCCCCAAGACGTCTCCTCCTCACAGGGACCCCTTTGCAGAACAAGCTTCCAGAGCTCTGGGCCCTCCTCAACTTCCTCCTCCCCACCATCTTCAAGAGCTGCAGCACCTTTGAGCAGTGGTTCAACGCCCCCTTCGCCATGACCGGCGAGAAGGTCCAGGACAAAACCTCCCTGGGAGGGTTTGGAGAAGCTGGGAGGAGGGGAAAAGTGTCCTTGGTTTGAGGGGGGGGAAAGTGGGAAAGGTGGAGGTGGGTCCTCCTGGTCTGGAGATGTTGGGGGTCCTGCTGGGGGAGTGGGTTCCCCTGGGAGGGGATTTGGGGTCTTCTGGAGGCTTTTGAAGGACCTTCTGAAGGGCCTTTTCAAGGGCCTTTTGGACAATCTTCTAGAGCCCTTTTTTTGGGGGCCTTTTTGGACCCTCTTGGATGTGTTTCAGATCTCTTTAGATCCAGATCTAGATCTTCTAGGTCTTATTTCTTTGCTCTTTTTTTCAGACCTTTTTTAGATCTTTTCTTTAGACTTTCTGTCCTTCTCTGTCCTTCTCTGTCCTCCTCCTCCTTCTCTCTCCTCCTCCTCCTTCTCTCTCCTTCTCCTCCTTCTCCCTCCTCCTCCTTCCCTCTCCTCCTCCTCCCTCTCTCTCCTCCTCCTTCTCTCTCCTCCTGCTCCTTCTCCCTCCTCCTCCTTCTCTCTCCTCCTCCTCCTTCTTTCTCCTTCTTTTGGACTTTTTTGGGTCCTTCTTAGATCCTCTAGAGCTTTTTTTCTTTCATTCTTTAGATCATTTGGGGTTTCTTTTACATTTTTACTGCTTCTTAGATTTTTTCAGGTTAGATTTTGGGGTTTTGACACCATTTTAAGCTCTTTTTCTACATTTCCAAGCTCCCCTCTCTGAGGGTGAAGCTCCTTGAGGGCTCTGGGAAGTGATTCCACCTGGAGTTGGGAGAAAGGGAAGGACAAACCCCCCCATACCTGCTACAAACCCCCCCAAACCTGCTACA